TATATGGGAAAATGCCCCCAATCCACCTCTTTATGGAGGGGGGAGGCCTATAGATGTTATACATTGCACAAATTTTTGGACCTTTTCCAATGCATTCATTAGTTGTGCTGATTTTTTTTTCTCTTTAAAAAATACTGTTTATCACATGGTCTGGGAAGGAGAGGAGAAAGAATACTTAGGATAACTATGATGGGGTAAGAAACAGAAGGCATCAATAAAAACTTATTTTAAGAAAAGGAACACTGAAATTCCTTCTCCTACTCACCATCTCCCATCATCCTATCTTCCCCTCTTCCTTGGTCCCCTTAAACCTTTCTTTTCTTACTATGATCTTTAGTCCCTTCAGCTCTCAGTGCTTTCAGGCTATCATCCCTTTCTTTTCTATCAAATTATTTTTCATCCACTTTGTATATATATCTTGTATGCACCTAGTTATTGTTGTTTCTCCCATTAGAATGCACGCATTTTGAGGACAGGGATCATATTTTTGCCTTTGTATCTCAAATAGTACAGTGCCTGTCGCACAGTGCCTTGTCGAATCCAGTAATGCCACGTTCATGGCAGTTTCCTGATTTCCCATAGTGTTACCCTGATTTAACCCTGTAAAAAAAGATAGCAAGGTTAGGTTCATATAGTAGCCCATTCTTAATGAAACCATGTTGACTTCATCTTTAGTGATCACTGCTTCCCTTTCTAAATATTCTTAAACCATCCCTTCTATAATATATTCAGGACCTGCCAAAAATCAAAGTCTAGTGTCCTGACCTCTATTTTCTGAAGATTCCATCCTTTACCCATCAACAACGGCTAACCCATACACATCTCTCTTCCATGTTTCTGAACATCAGGACCTCACCCCACCACACCACGAAGGATACTTCTAATGAGAGAAATAGGCAGGTTTCCTCCAATTTTCTTTTAGATCAGTTCACACATCTTTAAACACATGTGACTGAAAAATGTAGAAAAGAGAATATTCTATGGTATCTATTCCTTCTTGATTGAAAAAAAAAGTTGGTAGCAGAACTAGACATGTCACTCAAGACTCTTATTGAGTACGATGTGTTGAATGTATATCTTAAAATCATAAAAATTCGATGTCATATTTCACCTTAGAGATACATTTTGTCAATGATACATTAAGCATTAGCCTCAACAGAGGTATCCACACACACACACATATGTGTATACACACATACAAACATACACATATTCATACACATACACACGCAAGGCCCACCCTCACTGAGGAAACATTTACATAAGGCCCTCACCATCATTACTGAGGATGTCCAATGCAGACCCCAAATAGAAGAGTCATTCTCTAAAGGTGATGGTCATCCAAATGCTACTATTTATAGAGCTGTGACATCCCAGTTTTAAGAAGGGGACAATATCTATTCAAACCATAGATCACAAGCTCCCACCAATGTTTAGAGAGTCCCCATGTACAGTAAGGTCTGTGTGTGGCAAGGGCCATCCCTCTGTCTTACCTTGAAGGGGGACAGAATAGATACCTCTACCCTCTTCTCCCCCCCTACCCTTCTCTAAGGGAGACTTTCATTCCTTCCAGGAGGGGAAGCAAGAGGTTGGGGCCAGAGGCAGTCCACTATGCTTTCTTCAGGGGGAGATGGGTGCTAGGCTAGAAGTATATCTGCTCCCTTAAATATTGTTTGTGTGGGGTATATGATTGGGTTACATCTAAATTCTGATCACTTTGTCCTTCTTGGGTTTGGAGGACCACAAGCTCTATATCCAAGGCTTGACCCCTTTCCCACCAAATAATTCTACAATGAGCATAGAGAATAGCAAAAAAGTCATTTATCCAAATCATAGCAAAACAGAAATCATAGAAGGTACACACAGGAGAATATAGATCAGACAATACAAAGTGGTGAGGCTCTCCCGTTGGGAGTGAGATAACTCAGATTAACCAAGAGAGAGTCCCAGATCTCTCTCAATGGTAGCAAGCTGGGTTGGGGACGTGATGGAGAGTGCTTGCTACTCCTCTCACATCTTCCCAGGGGCTTTTCTTTGTTCAGTAACTGTAAGTGGGGCTGGCCTTTCCCAGAAGTGCTTGAAGTGACTCAAGGCTTAAAGAGTCCCAAAGAATACTGGCTGAGACCTGAAGCTCTTTCACTCACACAAACCATTCATCGCCACTCATGAGGACAGAGGCCCATACCAATGGGCTTTGGGACCCATTACACATGGATTTTGAGTGTGTTTGTGTGTGTGATCCAGAGAATAATAAGTTCAAAACAAAAGATGTTCCAACAACAGTAAAACACGTAGCCAGAAAGATGTCTCTCCACATACATGGTGTTACACTGTATTTCTGGCTGCCATATCCACTGCCCATTGAAGGGGGATCATCGTTGAAGGGTGTGTGTGTGCCTAGGGAGCAGGAATGGAATGGTGCACCAGAAATGTATGTGGCCAGACCACCTAGGTGTCTGGGGCACTTTGTGCCTCCAGTGCTGCAGAGAGCAGCCAATACTTTGATTCCTTCAGTAGCTCTGTCCCTCTGTCACAATGCTTTTCTTTGCTGGGTTCCCAGGAATCTAAATGATGTCTGTGCTGTTGCGACTGCTGCTGGGCAGGCTTGCTGACTTCTGAGGAGCTGCTCTCTGCTCCCACCTATTGGTCTTTAGTAGCTATTCTTCAATTGTTATCATTAACTGCTTTCTTCTGCCACCTGCTGGACTGCAGCTGCCAGGCAGCCTTTTCCTGAGGGGAGAAAGCCAAGGTCTTTGAATCATAGTTCATTAGGGCATTGCAACCACGTACAACCTGGTAGCCCACAAAAGCCAGGAGAAGCCCTTAAGCTAAGATTAAATCTATTTAGGCAACTTTTTCTCCTTCTTGCTGGACTGAAGCTCCCAGATCCCAGTCCTCTATCTGACTTAGGGTTAGAAATTCCTTTCACACTCTGTCAAAAGTTGGTATTGTTGGATTTCATTTCTTTTACATCCTCTACGTGGAGGACTTCATTTAGCACTCGAAAGAATCTCTGTGGAACTTGGGTGAGGAAATTGTTTTCAACTCCAATAATATCCTGATTACCATGCACATCAACCAAGGTCTCGGTGGATCTAGTGGGGTCCTGACTCAGTACCTGCTGACCCAATTCCCATGTGCTGCATCTCTGCCTTTGTTATGCCTTCTCAGTAGCAGCAAAATGAGTGGCTTCCCTAGACATATTACTCACTTTATCAATTAATCAACAAGGATTTATTAAGTGCCTACTGCATGCCAGGCATTGTTCAATACTGGAAATGCCAAGACTTATGAATAAGAGAGTCCATACTTTTTTGAGTGAGCTTCACTTTCTTTGGGGATATAACTAGAGTTTCAGCTACCAGGTTATAACTTCAGCTGGATGGATAGCCTTAGAGTTATTTCATCAATGGATGTGTCTTGGACAGACCAGTCAGGTGAACAGTGAGGTAAGCCCAGGATACATAGGAATAGATTGCTTCACATCCTGGGAAATCGTTCAACACATTCTTTTGATTTTAAACATATGTTTTTATTGATATCTTCTATTTTGACACATTTCCTCTTCCCAGGGAACCATCATATATAGCAAAGATTTAAAAAAAGAAGATGAGGGAAAAAAGCAAAACCAATTAATACATAAAAGATTTGAAAATGAGGCTATGTTTCACAACCATGGATTCCTCTCCCTTCTCCCTCCTCCTCCAGTAATTCTGGCGTCCTCTCACATCGTGTCGTGTAAATCTTTCCATGTGTAAGAGATGGGTGCGTGTGTGTGTATGTGTGTGGTGTGTTTTGCCCAGGTAGGTTATGTGTGCCCACATGGGTCATTCTAGATGTGGCTTGCAGGGAGTTAAGACTGAACATCTTTAGAATCTCTTCCCCTCCCCCCACTCTTCTCCAAGGGAGAGGAGACTTTGATTTTGGCTGAGAGGAGAAGCAGGAGATTGGGGCCAGAGGCTGGCTACACAGCTTTCCTCAAAGAAGGGTATATTGGGCTAGAATTATATCTGTCTTCTCTCTTAAATGTTGTTAGTCTAGGGGAAATCATTTTTAGGTCCGAGCTATGCTGCTGATCACTATCTTTCAATGAGGAAGAAATGCCACAAAGTTTCTGTCTTAATTACTCTCCCACCAAATGTGAGGTCCATAACGAACACACATAGCAAATAACAAATAAACCCCATTTATCCAAGTCATATCAAAATAGGAATTAGAGAGAGTATGCATAGGAGAATATTTACCAGCCAGTACAGGGTGAATGAGCTCTCCCAGTAGGAGTGAAGTGACTCAGCTTGGCCAAGAAGGGGATTCTCAGATCTCACCCAAAGGGAAATTCCCTAAAGTCTCCAGACTAGTGAGCTGCAGTAGGGACATGATAAAGGTTTTCTACTGCCTTTTCAGCTGCTTCCTGGAGACTTTCTCTCTTCAGAATCCAGAATGGTATGTTCTTTTTCTCAATGTAGGAAGTCAAAAGACCAGGATATTTCTTCAGCTTCACGTGATACATGCTTTTTATATCTTTCATATTAGCCAATTTATAAAGAAGAGTAATATTCCATAACATTCATGCACCACAGCTTTTTTAGCCATTCCCCATCTACTAGGAGAATTTTGTTCCCAAGTATTTTGTTTCCAGTTCTTTGCTGCTATGAAACAAGGGCTGGTGGGCTTTCTTCTTATCAATGGCCTCCCTGGGATATGTTTAGCAAGGGAATCTCAGGGTCAAGGGCATAGACCCTTTAGGGAAAGGTGATAAGCATTTTGCCAGGCAAGGTGATACTCGCTTTTACAAATATTACCTCATTGGTTTTGAGTCACCTTATTTGCATAACTCCCAATTGCTTTCCAGATTTGTGGGAGTAATCCACAGCTCCGGCATCAATGTGTTCAGGACTTCCCGTGATACCAAGCTATCACGAAGGACCTTACTGAGCTGCCGTATTTTCCTGCTGATGGATCACGCCTGCAAAGTCTCTAATTCAAGTTGTAGGTGACACCATGCATACGGCAGCCATCAGGAGGCTACAGCATATCTCAGGCCTGAAGCACCAACTGTCTCTCGGACAGCTCCAACTGGATGTCCTGCAAGCAGCTCCAACTTAACAGGTCCCAAACAAATGCGTCATCTTTTCCTCCAAACCCCCAACTTTGCCAAACTGCCCTATTACTGCTAAGGTTCCCACTGTCTTCTAAGTCTTAGCTGTGTGATCCTGGGCAAGTCACTTCACCCTGTTTGCCTCAGCTTCCTCATCTATAAAATGAGCTGGGGAAGGAAATGGCAAACCACTCCAGTGTCTTTGCCAAGAAAACCCCCAAATGGGGTCACAGAGAGTCAGACACGATGCAAACAACAAAACAATGGATTCTGTAAGACAGAAGAGAGGAGGGAGGACATGACAGGAATGGGGGGCAGCTTTGCCAAATTAAGGGAATGGCAGGGAAGCCAGTTTGGCCCCAGAAGAGAGTATGTGAAGGGGCATAATGTGGATTGTCTAGAAAGACAGATTAGAGTGTTCTAGGATTCTTCTTCTATCGGGATGCCCGGGGTCACATCACTAGTAAGTGTCTGATGCTGGATTTGAACTCAGGTCCTCCTGACTTCAGGGCTGGCACTCTGTCCACTGGACCACCTTGCTGCCCCTACTTCTAAGGTCAAAGAAGACTTTCTTTACTTGCCATTTAAACGTTTCCACACACACACAGGCCCTTTCCTACCTTCCCAGTCTTCATGTCCCCTGCTCTCTTCTCCATCACCCTATGATGCAGCTACATCAGTCTATTGAAAGTTCCTCAAACAGTTCATTTTTCATCTCTAGGCTTTTCATCGGCTGCCCTCATGTCTCAGTGCTCTACCCCTTCACCTCTAGCTTTTATTTTTCCTGTTTCCTTCAATTCTCAGCTCAATTCTCACCTTCTGCAGGAGGTCCACCCCATGATGCCTCCCCTTCCTCATGAGCTGCTAGTTCCTTCCCCTCTGAGATGACATTCCATCTACTGTATGTGTGTATGTATGTATGTACACATGTGTGTATGTGTATGTATGTATGCACACATGTATGTATGTGTATGTATGTATGTGTGTATGTATGTGTATGGACAGCTAGGTGGTGCAGTGGATAGAGTGCTGGGCCTGAAGTCAGGAAGACCTGAGTTCAAATCCAGCTTCAGATGCTTACTAGCTGTGTAACCCTGAGCAAGTCACTTCACCCTGTTTGCCTCAGTTTCCTCATCTTGTAAAATGAACTGGAGAAGAAAATGGCAAACCACTCCAGTATTTTTTCTAAGAAAATCCCAAATGGGGTCATGAAGAGTTGGACATGACTGAAACAACTGAAAAACGTATGTATGTATGTATGTATGTATGTATGTATGTATGTACGTAGTTACCTCTTGTTCCCCTCTCATCTCCCCACCCATAAGAATGTAGGATTGTTTTTCCTTCCTTTGCATCCTTCAGTACTTGGCAAATGCCTGGCACAATTGAGGGAGGGCTGAATAAATGCTGACTTGCATGTGAGAAGTCCTCAAAAAGACTTACCTCTTCAAGGACTTGGATGGTGGGAGAAGTGGCATGGACTGGTTATGTAGTGAGAGGCATGACAGCAAATAGATAGTCTGGCTAATGCTCTGGTATCCACACGAGATGAAAAGCATGAGAGGAAGGCCTCCAGTGTATTGGATTGCCTATGGAGGATTTACTGAGATAGACATGGATTAGAGGTACATGGTGGGGTGAACAGATTAGGTTGGGTTAGTATTTATCCTGCTGGAATAAGCACCCACCTTGATGCTATCACAGACCCACTGAAGTATTAAGGAGGCGGATGGAGTCACACCAGCTAGAGCTTTGGCTTGGGCCAGCATTAAGTAGGAAAATGAACTCCTGCTAATTTGACCTCTGTGTTAGAGCCATATAAATTCTAATTTTGTTTTTGTCAATAGGAAATGTTTTAGGTCTTTCTTACAAACTTCCTCCCAGGAAATCTTTCAAGATATCATCTAAGTGTAGTCCTATTTAGTAGAAAGGACCAGGTGCTGTTAAATCAAATTCTTATCCTTATTTTCAGTTTATAGTATCCAAGAGCAGAGAATGCTTTGGGATAACCACCACCAGTTCTCTCTGGCTCTCTGCAAGCTGTCTGCCTCCCTCTCCATGGTTGGGTCCTTTTGTGGATAATGATGCTTGTTTCACTAGAATGACAGGATTTTTGTAATATATGGATTACCCAGTCTAATCTCATGGCTTGCAATGTCTTACTCCCCATTTCCTTATGTCTCTTACTTCTAAAGCTTTTGTATAATTCTTTAATCAGAATATTAGGGATGAATAAAGTAGGTAACATTAATTCACCCAGTGCAGCAAATAGTAATAAACAAACACTTCCAAAGAGGCTCTCAAATCTGTTCCTGGCCTAAGGGGGTCCTCCTCTTGATCCTCCTGTCCTGATCTTCACGCACATGAAACAAGCTAACATTTCCTGAAGGCTTTTCTTTATCTCTGGGGGTGTGGTGTCTACTGGTATGTTCCTTGGAGGTGCCCAGTACCTAGAATTAGGGATGGGGCAAAGCTGACAAGTACAGAGGGCACAAGACTGAGGTGGAATCGGGCAGAATAGGGCAGGAGAGGTCCAAGGAGAGGAACAGGACAGAACAAGTCAGGGACAGGAGAGGGACAAATGTAGGGTGGGGAGGGAACATTTATTGTCCTTGACACTACTTAGGGGACTCAGCTCATTCTTTGAGATTCCTCCTAAGGTGCTTTCATTTCTGTCTCTTGTACATGGCCCTGACCTAGTTATTCAGTGAATGAGTTACCTAAGCTGCCGCATCCGTTCTGTCAGCCACCTGCCCTTCTTCTGATCCACTAGTACGAAGTGTAACTGGTTTCAAACTGTAACCCAGAATTGTTTTTTAACCAGGATTATTTATTTTTTTTTTTTGGTGTGCGCATGTGTGTGTGTGCGTGTGTGTGCATGTGTGTGTGTGTGTGTGTGTGTGTGTGTGTTAAGCAATTGTGGTTAAATGACTTGCTCAGGGTCACACAGTAAGTGTCAAGTGTCTGAGGCCGGATTTGAACTCAGGTCCTCCTGACTCCAAGGCTGGTGCTCTATCCATAGCTACCCCACCCTGAATTTTCTCATTGCCTGAGGGTCCTTTTCTCTTCAGCATTTCTCCATTCTGTCCAATAATCCTGAGAGCAGAGACAGGCGTTCTTCCAGCCCTTTTAACTTCTTTCCAATCAAAGAATTGGGTTGTGCAAGTGTTTAGTGTGCCCAGAGGAGAAGTAGGATTGTGGGGCTAGACAGTGAGGCCAGAGGCTCTCCTCAGCTGTCCAGGTGTGCAGAGTGCCTGATGTCATCTTCCTTGCTGACCCCACCAACTCTTGGCTACTCTTTGCTTTGGCCTTAAAGAATCATATTCCATACATTTTCGTAAAGGTGTGGGGTCATGGAGAGTGTAGAGAGCTGTAGGGGATCCCAGAGTGATGAAAGGTTGGGGGGGGTCCCAGAGGCTGGCCAAGGGTCATGGATTCAGAGCAGATTTGGGGATTGCAGGAAGTCATAGATTTTGAAATGGGGTGAGAATCTTTGGTGGCCTGTCTGACCAGAGCACTCTGCCTGTAGCTTTGCAGCCGGCAACTGTTCTGCAAGAAGCGGAGGGGAAAATCATTAGTTTGAAAACATGCAATGGGACTGAGTGGTACCATGGATCCATTCACTCGAGCAACCTGTGTGCTGGCTACCCAGAGGGTAAAATTGACACTTGCCAGGTAACATTCCTCCCCTGGGCCCTCAGATGCTTGCATCTCTAAGCCCACTCAACCATGACACTGAGATCCCAGCTTCCAGTTAACCAAGCACCTTCTGCCTAATTCTAACATGAATTTTGCCCAATGAACCTCTTCTCTAATCATTCACATGGCTGTCTGGGAGGGCTGTGGGAAAGCTGCTCTGTGCACCCTTTGTTTCATGAGGACCAACTAGTACCGGAAGACCCTCTTCTCTATAAGCTCATACCTGGACGTTTTTTCGCCCAGACCCAGGGGATGAGGTCTCTGGCTCCTTTATTCCATGCTCTCAGTACCTCCGTTTGCCATGCAGACCACTTCCTGAGAGCCCTGGGATCTCTCCAGTTCCAAATTAACTCTCAGGATCTTGTCCGCAAGTGCACGTTTATATGAACGTGTGTGTGTGTGTGTGTGTGTGTGTGTGTGTGTGTGTGTGTGTGTGTATCCTGAGGGATCAGTGCCCTGATGATTTAGGGCACTTATGTCCTGAGGAAGTAGTGCCTGTGTGTCCTAAGAACACTGTGAATGCATGTTCTTAGAGGACAGTGACTGTCTGAGCTGAGAAGACCTTATGCACGTTGGGCAGGGAACAGGAACCATGAGTCCCTGTAACAAGGACTGTGAGAATGTTTCCCTTCTGTGCAGGGGGACAGTGGTGGACCACTCATGTGCAAGGACAAGGACAGTAACACCTTTGTGGTGACTGGCATCACCAGCTGGGGCACAGGCTGTGGCCGGGTGAAACGGCCAGGAGTCTACACATCCACGGGGAGCTTTCTGGAGTGGATCGTAGACAAGATCGGACCTTATCCTATGCTTGACCCACCTTCACCAATCAAGAACTCCATATTAAGACCTCACAGAGGGAGACTAGGGAGAGGGGTGGCTCCGAAGAGTAGTACTTCTTTCATTCATACAAAACAGGGCATCCCCAAAGGTAAATTGGGCCCCTTCTTCCCTTGACCTTTCTTCATCTGTCCCTCACCCCCAAGGAAGAAGGGATGTGGCCCTATCACAGGCAGGAGTTTCTAACTTTATCTTTCATTCATGCACATTTCTAGTGGGGATGCTTAAACATTCTCATAGTCATTTTCTTTCCTTATCTGTCAACTTCCAACCTCATTGGCTCTATTTCTTTAGCTGATGTAGGAAGAGACAAACCCAGTTCACTGTCCAATATATTCCATCATTTTCCCTTAATGGCTACCATTTGGCCTAATCTTTCCCCATAAATGGGCATCCTTTCCTCTAATCACATCAGTTCATGGGAAGGAGAGGAATCAATTGTGTGGCCATAGTTTGCCAAAACCCATGGCTCTCCAAACCAGAACCCTTAATCCCACTTCTATTTTTTACTTCTTTGACAAAATTTCTCTATGGAATTCATACACTCATCCTCTTGTTGACTTCTGCCGACTGTACCCTTACGGGCAATATATTTCTCAGGTATGAGCTGAATCAAGGAATATACTATCACATTCACTGCTAATAGTTCCAATTGGGCTGTTTATTGGGCAAAGTATGTATGCAGGAATGCAGGCTGGTTTTGCCACAGTTCCCTCCAGAGGCCCAGATTCCACAACTCTGGAATAGACAGGGGCACAGATAATATATCAACAGAGCTTTTTACAGTCTGAGAGATACAGAGGCTCTAGGAGAGACCAGTGTCTCTTCATTGAAGGTGAGTACAGAGCTGGACTTTTTAATACAATAACCTTCATGAATCAGTACAAATGCATCAGTTCAGTTCATAGCATCAAGAAATGACCCCATAAGAAATACAAATTGCAGCATGAATAAATACTGAGGCTTGACAAATCATTGTGAGCGGGGTTGGGGAATACTACTACCTCTAGATTGTATAAACCCAGAAGCAGGGTTAGCGTAAGGTACAAAACAGTTTAAAATCATGATACAACCACGGGGATAAATTGAAAGTTGACAAAGTATATAGGATTGTTGAACTCCCAATTTGCTCAGACTCAATTTACTCATTGTTACACTTTGAGACAAGAAGATGCTCTTACAAGCGGCCAAGAAGAAAGATATGTCAGCACCGATGTGATGAAGAGATTTCCCCCCCCAAAAAAAACCTGAAAAATGATACAAGAAGCATGAATGTGATGTACTAAAGCTTAGGAGATAGAGGATATCATCCCCAAATCCTTTCCCCAGCAAAGTTAAGCATTCTTTTCAAAGAAAAAAATGCAGTCAGTGAAAAGCATAATTGAACTGAGAAATCTATGCCAATAAAAATCAACCCTAAAGCAGTGTTTGACATACAAAGCCGAGCAGGGAATAATAGATGCTTTACAACTATGATTAACTAGTTTTCTTAAGGCAATCACCATAGAAAGATTAAAAACAGTGTTTTGATTAACAACTGAATACTTCAGATGGGCTGCTGGGAGGAAGAGGGAGAAGGGAAGAGAGGTCTCAAATGAAGCCCAGATATCTCCCAGTTGGTAAAGTTCATTTTGGGTGGTATAGCACAGGAAGGAAGGCGAGCAATCTCAGGGCAAATGAAAGGAAGGTAATTTCAAAGCCTCGATGCTACCTCATAGTGAGGAAGAAAGGAATAATGGTAGTAGTTAATGAAAAAATAAAGCTATTTCCTCCCCAAAATTTTAGTTAATATAAAATATAGGCACCACGTCTACTGTTTTGTGTGTGTGTGCATGTTGGGCTTGGAAGAGGGTTTCATAATTTAGAGGAAAAGTATTCCAGAGATCATCAATACGGCTCCATTTTAAAGATGAAACTGAGGTTCACCAATGGAAAGTGACTTGGTTAGGGTCTCATGGAAGGAGTAATTGCAGAGTGGGGATTGAAACTCAAATTCTGTGACTCCAATTTTAATGCTTTTTAGCCCCTATTTAAAACTATATCGCGCTGCCACCTCAGTATTCGTGAATATAAGGAAGTGAGATTGTATTTTTTTCTTTTTACAAAGTGAATAATTTGACAAAGTATAGGATAATTCAATTTGTTATTATCTTGAATATATATGGATTTAATCCACTTATTAAAAGAAAAATGCTTCTCAAATGGATGGAAACAACCCAAGAATACATTGCCTATAGGAATCACACCTAAGGCAAAAAGATACTCAGAAGTTTGAGAAGATGTATTATATGTCAACATTTCCAGATAACTGAGCTGCAGCTACGGCATCAGGCAAAATTGAATTCAAATTAGAAAGCATTGAAAGAGACAAAGTAAAAGCGCCCATCCAAGTAAGAGAATGGCATTGAAGAGGCAACCTACCATGGTGCAAAGAGCACTGACTTGGAGTGAGAGGATTCATTTTGGGTCCTGCCTCTGGGACTTGTTATCTCTATGACTTTGGATAAATTCTTGACATCTCTGTCTTAGGGTTCTTATCTGTGGTCTGAAGGGATTGGGCCAGATGTTCTCTTTTTCGTTTCAGGTCTAAATCTTATGGTCAACATAAAAAAAATCTGTGCACTAGAAAAAAAACATTGTTAAAAACAATTAGGAAATTATTATCCAATTTTAAAACCTCACTACTAGAATATGAGAAATGAGATAAAGAAGAAGTTGTAGAATCCAGAGATCTGAGGAAATTGGATTTGATAATATGTGGAGAACAGAATGGGAAAAAGAATGTTTAAACAAATTCCCACCAAACATTCATAAAAATTGCTTGTATTCTAGGGCACCAAGAAGTTATAAATTTAAAAAGGCAAAAATATTAACACTACATTTTCAGATAAGAATGCAATGAAATAAAAATAGTTCTCAAAGAAAAAAGCAAAGGGCCTACATGGAGACTATAAGTGACTTTTTTGAATAATGCTGGGATTAAAGATGAAATGAAACAATGAAAATTATATGTACTGGCAATATAAATACAACTCATCAAAACTTACAGATGTCACCACAGCAATACTCAGAGAAAAAATTATGTTCCAGAATGTTTATATTAAGAAGAGAGAAAAAGATAATGAAAGAAATTATAAAATGAACAAATTAATATGCTAGAAGACGAAACAAATCATCATAGGATGTAGGAGGAAGTAGCAAAGTAGAAAATAAAGGAATGATTGAATTAATAAAGAGAATCAGAGGCTTTTTAAAAAGACCAATAAAAATTATTAACTTCCAACAAATTTAATCAAAGGAAAGAGTAAAATCCAATGACAGAAATGATAAAGGGGAAGTCACAAAGAATAAAGATAATTTTCAAAAACTGTTATGCTGATGTGGACCAAAAAATGAGAATATTTAAAAAGATGAATATTAAAATGTATGTAAATTATCTAATTTGAAAAACTAAGAAATAGCCTAAATAACCCAATCATGGAATTATCAATTTAATAGGGCATTAATGAGTTCTGCAAAAAGATATGAGGACCAGGTAGATTCACAAATGAATTCTATGAAGCATTCAAAGAACAGGGGCAGCTAGGTGGCGCAGTGGATAGAGCACTGGCCCTGGAGTCAGGAAGACCTGAGTTCAAATCTAGCCTCATATATATGATACTCACTAGCTATGTGATCCTGGGCAAGTCACTTAACCTCGATTGCTTGCCCTTCCCCCCCAAAAAACATTCAAAAAGTAATTCTTATTATACAAATTTTTCAAAAATGGAAAGAGACAATAGCATTCTACTTAATTTGTTCTGTGAGGCAAATATAGTCTTGATCCCCAAACCTGGCATTGATAAAGCAGAAAAAGAATGGTTTGGGGAGGGAACCGCATTTTTGACTTCATTGGAAGAATGAACTCCCGAGTGTAGCTATCTCAAAATACAGCAGTACCAGCCTGGTACATTTTAGTCTTGGAGAGTTCTTTAACTCTATTATTAATGTGTAGCTTATCTACTCCCCAGGTTAAAGGAATAATATCCACTCTGCCCTGGCCCCTAGGGTCACTGACATTTAATGTGCAGTCTTGGTATATCTGGCTTGCACCTTGTCGGGGTACCATGCTACACCAGGATCAGAAAAAAGTCTAGGCTTGAGCCTCAGGGGGCTAGGTTATAGGATGGCACTGATCATGCCACTGCTATATGCTTTGTTTTTATATACATAAATAGTTTGCTAAGCCATGTCTCCCTTGACTGTATAAGGCATGAAAAGAAAAACCTTAAAAATCATATGATTATGGCCAGAGACACTGATATAAGATATATATAAAAGCAACTTCTGGCTTTCTGGAAGGGCTGCTAGCTCTTAAAACACATCTGCAGTATGGTTAGTGTCTTCCTGAGGCTTATTGTAAATTCAGTTTGTATTTCTGGGCAACACCCATTGGGTGAAAGGGCATAAATAGAGAAAGGGGCATGAGTGTTTTCCCCAGGCTTAGATTCACGGGAGGTGGCAACCATGGGCAGACACACTGTACCCTGAGGCAAGGAAGGGGTGAAAAGAATTCACTCAACCTCACATAGGAGTAGGGGAAGACCTTCTGTTGAGAGGAATGCACAAATGTCAGTGTCACAGCTTCCTGGCCAAGGGGCCCTTGTGTGTGCCAGCTAAATGCAGTCACGAAGCAGATTCAAGGCAGTAGACCCTGCACTGACTAGCCCTGAGGCCTGCAGCCATGGGGGAGCTCAGTATGAGTTTTCACCATCACCTGCAGCGGTGGGGAGCAGCAGCAGAAGGAAGGCATTCAGGAAAGCATTGCTGTGCCCTGGGAGGTAGAGTTCTTGGTCCTGCTAAGAGGCCCCAAGGGCCATTTATGGGGCCTGCCTCATCTGTGAGTAGAGTAGGTGCAGTCTGGGCAACTCATACATTTCCCTCACATGAATAATCTTAACACACATCCATTTTCCCCACATTAAGGAAGGTTTGTTACTTGAGTAATAATCCAAGTAACATGTAATTCTGTGGTGGAGCCCAATATTTGGTAAACCAAAAAGGTTTTTGATAAAATATACCCATTTCCATTAAGAACATCAAGAAACATGAGAATAAAAGGATCTTTCCTTAGCATATTAAGAAAAGTATTCAAAATTATAGGTTAATCTTATGTGTAATGGAGAATCATTACAGTCCTTCCCGCTAAAGACAGGGCTCATGCAAGCCTTGTCAACTTCCCCCATGATTATTAAGCATGATTCTAACTATCAGCAGCAAGACAAGAGAAAGAAATGATAGCAATGAGCAGAGGCAAAGAAGGGGTTAAGGTATCATGTTTTCTAGATAACATGACACTGCATATACTTAGAAAACCTCTAAGAGTCCACAAAAAAATCAAAATGATAAGTAGCTCAGAGCAGTGGTTCTTGCCCTGGAGTCTGTGAATTCAATTTTTATATACTTTCATAATTGCATTTCAATGTCTTTGGTTTCCTTTATAATACTATGTATTGTTTATGCTTTTAAAGACACAACACTGAGAAGAGGCCTCTAGCCCCAGGGCCTGTGATGCAAAGGAATGTTGGAACCATTGCGTAAAGAGCATCTATTGTCCAGTGGGATGCAGGGCCTCCCTCCCCCACCAAGTTTCATTGAGGCAGGGAGGTGACTCGAGTTCTCAAAGGCAAGGCCTACAGAGCATAAGCTCTGGTAGGCTTTTCTTTTGGAGAGTGCCATAGTTCTAGCTAGTATTGCTGTGGAGAGATCTCACATATGGTCCCTGAGGAAGCCTCCATTTGCTTTCTGAGAACCAATCCACACAAATAAATAGAGAGATTCACTACCAGTAGACGGGCCGAGGAGTGGTAGATTTCCCTCTCCCCACCCAAAGCAGCCCATGACATGGAAACTGTAAACTGACTCCAATTCCTGTGTAGGCCCCCTTTGCTTCTAGTAGAGTAGGAGGATTTGAGAAGAAAGTACTAAAGATTGCACCATTTTTAGGCCATCCATTGGCAAGTGTAAGGTGAGATCTTTGATATATGGACAAGTAACAAATAAGATTTAGCAAGAAAGCTGGATATTATGTCATAGGACCATAAATTGAGAGCTGGAAGGGACCCCAGAAGCCATTCATTCTAACACTCATTTTAGAGAGGAGGAAACTGAGGCATAGAGTCAGTGCACTCGTCCAGGCTACTAAGTGCTGGAGGCAGAATTTTAACCCAGTTCTTCCTGACCGCAAGTCATGGTAAACTCATAAAAGTCATGGGCATTTCTACACATCACTAACAAAAGTGAGAAGAAATTGGCAGAGATATCATCATGTCAAAAATGTGTCAGATACTTGGGTATTAACTTGTCAAGGCAAATACGACCTTTAACAGACACCACAGACTTGGAGTAGCTAGGGGGCGCCACCTTGTGCAGAGTGCTGGACCTGGAGTCAGGAAGACCCGAATTCAAATGTGTCCTCAGACATTTAACTAGATCTGTGAGCCTGGGCAAGTCACTTGACCCCTATCTGCCTCAGTTGCTTCATCTGTAAATGGATTTAATCACAGCACCCATTTTCCAGAGTGACAGTGAGGCTCAAATGAGAGAGTTATTGTAAAGTGCTTAGCATGGTGTCTGGCATGCAGTGGGCGCTGGCAGTAGCTGTTATTAGACTTGGGACAATACAGGAAAGATGGTGGTAAAACACTGCTTTGTGTGTTTAATAAGGAGTCATATTTTAGTAACACTGTACATTATATTATCTATTTATATGTTAATGATTTACTTATTTAACAATAACATTTGTAATAATTATTTTATATTTTACATCATATTAATAATATAATGTATTTAATAATGATGGACATTTATGTAATGTTTCAAGGTTTACCCAGTGCTTTATGCACATTTGCTTGTTTGAACCTTACAACAACCTTATAAGGCAGGAATGATTATTGTCCCCACTTTAGAGATGAGAAGATTAAGACTCAGTGTTACCGGATTGGTCACATAGCTAGTAAGTAACAACTTCAGGTTGTGAAGGTTTCTGATTGCTGGGAGAGTTTGTCTATTATCCCAGAGGTGATAGATCAGTCAGTGCATCAATAAACATTTATTGAACACCTATTACGTGCCAAGTGCTGAGGATAAAAATACAAATAATAAGATTCCCTGCCCTCAATGAGTTCACAGTCGAATGGGAGGGGAGGCCCACAATACCGTAAAGCAAACTGAGAGGGGGTGGGAGAAAAGGTTCCCAGCTTGGGGGTGGGATGCAGAAGTCTAAAACAGTGCAGAGGGTGGGAAGAGAGGAGATGATTGTCCCCCTTAAAGGGAGATTTTGAAGCTCCTGGCCCCGGGCTCCTGTCAGAGGGCATTGATGAGATGTGAGTACCTCAACTGATTGGATCTTTCCAGCCCAAGCAGTTTCCCAATGATGAGGTGCTGGGGTATGATGGAGAAGTCCAAAAGCAGTGCAGATGGTGGGAAGTGATGAGCATTAGAGTTCAGGGGGCAGTCCTGTGCACTAAGAATAGAAATCTGGCAGAATAGAGAGAGAACAGTTTGGAGAGGAAGAGACTGGGGTCAGGGTGATCAATTAGGAGGCTTTTGGAAGAGGCCAAAAGACAGGACGAGGGTCTGAAGTGAGTGGAAGGAAAAGGGATAGACTCAAGAGGTATTAAGGAAATAGAATTGACGAGATTTGCCAACTGGTCTCATCTTCACAAGGTTGGTATACAGGTAGTGATGTAGGGCAAGGGATAGTGCTGGGCTTGGAATCAGGATGATCAGAGTTCAAATCCACTTTCAGACACTTATTAGCTGTGTGACCCTGGGCAAGTCATTTAACCTATCTCAGTCTCAGTTTCTTCACCTGAAAAATGAGGACAATAATAGCATTTATGTTACAGGGTCGTTTGAGGATCAAAAGAAATAGCATGTAAGATGCTTAAAGTGCCACATAAATACTGGTTGGTTTGTGAGAGTGGGGGCCTTTCCCTTGACATCCTTCTACAATCCTTCCTCTTCCTTCTCCTTTTATTTCCCTGTGCTTTCTCTATAGCAGCCCCTTTGTTTTCTTCCTGCTTCCATTCTACACTTGTGAATGCTGCTACCCAACCTGGTCCAAATCTCTTGGAGTTTGAATGGTCTAGAAGGGTCTCTAGGGATAGCTGCCCTCATCTCCTGGTGATCCAAGAAGAGTTGGAGATGACAATGAACTTGTGAATGTAGATGACTGGAAGGATGGTGGTGTCTTGAACTGAAAGAGACGAGTTAGGAAGAAGGAGGGTTTGGATTGGCGTGGAATGTGTGATGGGGAAAGACAGTGAGTCCTGTTTTGTCTTGTGGAGGACAGAGTTGGAAATGTCAGGCAATTCATGATGTAGGCTGGAGATCCAAGGGCTGGAAATATGCGTGGCTCTGGAGAGCCCTTTCCATACAGCTCCTACACCGCAAGGCTCTCCTCAGCTGAACTTCTGGGGCATCTAGTGTGTCCACCTTCCCCATGAGCCCCATCCCCACCGAGCACTAATCACACTCCTGGTCATGTCCATTGTCCTAGTGTGTGTGTCCACCCTCCCCACCTCTGAGATCAGGGCTTCCCTCATCCACCTCAGTCTTCCCAGGATATAGGACAAGGCTTGGAATGCAGGAGGTATGGGTGAATGAATATTGATAATATCCCCTTGGTTCCTTTGTCTGGGTTTCTCTTCCAAGCCAGCCACCTCCTCAGCCAACCTCTAATACCAGGTCATTTCCCCATCTCTTATGGTGTGGTGCAGTGGAAATAATCCTGGCTAGGCATGAAAATAAAAGACCTGGGTTCCAGTTCCAGCTTAGGTGTGACCCTAGGTCTGCCTCCTGAGTCTGTGAATTCCCTGTCATTGACAGCCTTCAAGGAGAGATGGGGTGGGCATTGTTTAAAGACATCGTAGAGGGGATGTATGATTTGGGTTGGGACTGCATGAGCTAGGCTTATCAGTCTCTTCCATATATTCATATGACTCTCTTTGAGCCTAATTTTCTTCATCTGTAAAGGTGATGGTGAACCTGTACTGCCCACTTCACACAGCATTTTTTTTTGAGAGAAGCATTTTGTAACTCTGAAAGGACCATAGGACTGGGAACTATGGTCATTACCTGCACCTCCATCTGGAAGTCTGTAAGCTCCCCCATTTTGCCCCCAGGCTCCCCTCCCCCAATATCTCCCTTAGGAATCTCCTGTCCTCTATACTCTTTGGTCATCACAAAGGTTCTGGGCCAGGATTGGCTGGGCAGCAGGCACTGTATGATATCATGCTGGCCTTTGGTTCAGGTTAGAGGATGGGAGGGACAGGGCTGCTGTGCCAGACACTGTTGCTATCCCTTATGGGCACTATAGTGGCCACTTTGGAAGGTTCATGTGAGTAAGTGAAGGGAGACACGCATGTAGGGGGAACATGTATGTATGTATGTAAGGGGAACAGAGGGTGTTTGAATGTGGGACACAGGAAAGCATGTGGAGACAAGTTTGAATGAATGTGGAGAATGTGTGTTTGGGCACATAGGCGGGTGTATGAGGAGGTATCATGAAGAGGAATGGACTGCCTTAGGAGGTCAAAGGACTCCCCTTTACTGGAGGGTCCCCAGCAAATGCTTGGTACTCAGCCCCTTGGATGGCCTTCTTAGTCAGCTACAGGTTAGAGAAGATGCCTCTGTGGCCCATTGCCTCCATTGGGATTTGTGTGTGTGTGTGTGTGTGTGTGTGTGTGTGTGTGTGTGTGTGTGTGTGTGTGAGAGAGAGAGAGAGAGAGAGAGAGAGAGGGAGAGAGAGAGAGAGAGAGAGAGAGAGAGAGAGAGAGAGAGAGCACGTTGGGAGGTACGTATGTACAAGCAGAATGCACACGTAAGAGAGCACAGGAGAGGGAACACAGGGGACGCACACGAGCTTGGGGGCAGACATGGAGGTGTCTAGCCCTCATTATTCTTCCCTCCCTTCAAGGGGCTCAGCTCTCAGGGCTGGGGAGAAGAGGGAGATTGAGTCTTGGGGACATTTTCCTCCCTTTCTGCCCATGATCTGTATGGCTTGCCACTCTCTCACTCCTGATGACCCATTTTCCATCCCAGCAAGCCCTGTGAATACCAGCCAGGGCTAAAGAAAAAGGTTGGAGCATCCCATAGCGTAAGACACTCTCATGCTGGGCCTGGAGCCTGGCCCTGGAGCCTGGCCCTGGATGGTCAGTATACAGATTGTCAGCCAGTCTGGGGTAAGGTACCATGTCTGTGCCGGGTCCTTATTGACTGCTAGCTGGGTTCTCACGGCTGCTCACTGCTTCAAGGACAAAATGTAAGAGGCCTAAGGAAAGGGTTGGATTGAAGCTCTCTCCAGGGATCTCTCACCAGAGTCTCTCTCTAGGGTATCTCCCCAAGGATCTCTCACCTCTGGCACCCATCTCTAGAATTTCCAGCCTCTGTCGATATCTCCTGGTGTTTCTCTCCAGCTCTTTCTCTCTGCCAATCTCTCTTTCCAGGGTTTCTTTCTTATGGTCTCCTTCTAGGAACCTTTTCTCCAGGTGTCTATCTCCGAGCAGATTTTCTTCAGAGGTTTCTCTCTTTAGATATTTCTACGGGGGCTGTCTTTGTGATCTGTCTAGATCTGTGTGTCTTTAGGGATTAGTTTAATAAGTCTCTTTCCAGGAATATCTTTAGGAGTTTTCCTTTTGGGGTGGAGTAGAAAAAGAGCGGTGCTCCCCAAGGATGTCTCCAGGAGGGCTGGGCCCTCACTGGCTGTCTCTGTAGTGACCTGCACAAGTGGCGGCTGCTGCTTGGTGCCTGGGATATCCAGTGGGCTGCGTTCGGTCCCCTGGGCCCCCGCGTGCAGGAGCGGAAACCTGTCCAGATCCTGACGCATGAGCAACACAGCATCCAACTCAACACCAATGACATCGCACTGGTGGAGATGGACCACCCCGCCCCCTGTGACGATGTGGTGCAGATTGTCTGTCTCCCCAGGTCCGCTGAGTCCCCCATCCGGGCACCAGAGTCCCGTATTGTTGCGGGCTGGGGGTTCAAAAGAGGTAAGTCTGGGAGGAGGCTTTTGGAACATTGTGGGGATCACGTTGTGATCCAGGGATCATTTGGGGCTGTAAGGTTGATGAGGGTTATAGTGCCATGGTAGCTACGGGAGAGATTTCAGGGACTCCGGGGGGTCAGAAGAATCCGAATCCCCACTTGAAGAAAAAGATCCCTGCTATAGTTCCCACAAGCAGTGTGGTACACTGTGGTAGGTTTCTTGGTCCCACACAGTCTAAAAAGCTGGGTGGTGTCAGTCAAATGCTCATACTCACCTTTAAAGAGGAATCGACAGCAGAGGGTGAGCAAACTCTATTAACACGGTAACAAGGTCTTAAACAGCAGCAACCGTTGCCAAGCTCTCTTTGGCTCTCAGGGAGCTGGCTGACTCTTTAGCACCACCGATGGTAACAGTGGTACTATTAGTCAGTTTCTTTGGAATTTTGGGGATTGCCCAGTCAGATCTCCTGTCTCATTCTGCCTGCACTCCCGGGCTCCTCCTCTTCCTGGGGTTCCCGAGTCAACCTTCCAATCATACTCCCCAGCCTGCTGTTTCAAGCGACGTCTACCGTGGGCCTTGGCTGGCTCCTTTCTTAATCCCGTTGATGGGCAGGCATTCTGTTAATTCCCATGTCAGTCTCCGAAGGACAGTCCAGGTTCCTAGGTCATTTTCCCCTCATCACCTCAGTTCTAATCAGGTTGTCAGGGGTAAATGGCACCAAATCTTGCAGAGAGATCTGCCTATCTTTCTCCTCTTTCACTTCTCCTTTAATAAGCTTGTGATACCAGCCCTCCCCTTCCATATCAATCAATCAATCAATCAATCATCTATGAGCAAGGGCAGCTAGCTGGTGCAGTGGGTAGAGTACTGAGCCTGCAGTCAGGAAGATCTGAGTTCAGATTTGACCTTAGACACTTCCCAGGTGGGGAGCCCTGGGCAAACCTCTTTGCTGCCTCAGGGGATAACAACAATACTCATCTCCCAGGATTGCTGTGCTGTTCAAATGACAGAATATTTGTAAAGCACTTGACTCTGTGCCTGGCACATAGTACACATGGTAAGTGCTATTCAAAGCTAGCTATTTTTATTTACTATTTGACCAGCACTTGGCTCTGGGGTTATGAAGACAAAAGTATATGAATCCTTGCCCTCAAGGAACTTACATTCTAAAGAGAAAAAAACACACTCACACTCAAGTATATACAAAGTATTTGTAAAATGGGCACAAGATAGTTTTGGGAATGGATGCACTAGCAGCTAGGGGATGGGGTCAAGGAAAAGCTTCATGAAGAATGGGGCAGTTAACTTGAGCCAGGAAGGGAAACCCAGTCCCATGGAACCTTTCCTATGAGCATAATTGCCATGAAATTTCTCCAGGAGAGTACACTCAACAGCTATACTCCCAACCTAGTAATAAGAAAGAGCCCCACGTTTCAGGGTGGTGACAGGTGGCATAGTACTGCCCCATAAGCAGCAACCAGGAGGCTTTCGATTTTGCTTATGAAATTTTGATCTCTGGACAACGGCAGATGGTGTCCACTACCTCTGTTGCCATGGAGACGAGTGACGTTGAAAGCTGTGTGAACCATCTTGTGTATGTAGGCATGTTCAGGGAAGCTAGAGAACCAGTCCAGATGTAAAGAGTGCAGTGAACTGTGCAGATGGGTACAGCCTCTATTCACTGAATGGGTAAATTGAGAAAACACCTTGACACTCTGTTGTCTCCTTGGAATTACCCCCTGAAGCCTGGCTTCACACCTTATCTCTTGTTAGCCTCCTTGGGTTTTGCTGCCCTGGCTTTGAATCCCATTTCTGGTCTGGGGGCTCCCCCATCAACAGTTCCCTAGATTCCTACGTCCCCACTACCAAGCCTAGGTTCTTCACACAACGATCCTGGCTTGCATCGGAGCCAGCATTTCTTAACTGTAGCTTTTCTTCATTTCCAGCAGCCCTCTCAACGGGGAGGATTTACATCCATTTCCCAAGCTCTTCATCTCTTTCCTCTTTTTTGTCTAGATGTCTGCAATATATTTTGATGACCATATCACTGTTGTTTCTGCTTCTTTTGCTCTTCAGCTCATTATTCTCCATGTTTCTCTGCACTGATTCTGAAATTTCTTCACACATTCTTTAAAGTTTTTTGCAAAATACTGCTTTTTTTCAATTAACAAGCTTTTCTCTCCATCCTTTTAGGGGAAAAAAGGGAAAACAAAACTTTAGTAAGGAATATGCACAGTCAAGCAAAAATAAATGCCTACATGTATCATGTCCAGAAATGTTTATCTTACTCTATCTCTCATTGTTTCCACCAAAGTGGGCGGCATTCATCATCGTGAAGTCTTTGGAATTTATTGCATTGATCAAAGTTTTTAAGTCTTTCAAAGTTCTCTGTCTTTAAGTTACTGCTGTTATTGTATGATTTTTTTCCCCCTCCTGGTTCTGTTCACTCTGCATCAGTTCATACAAACCTTCTCAGGTTTTTCTGAAACCATCCCTTTCATAATTTCTTTTGGCAGAAATAGTATTATTCCATTACACTCACAAATTATGCTTTATAAATACAATGGAATACTATCGTGCTATGAGAAATGCACGTATATTCTTAATCTACAATGGTACATCTTTTTTTCCCTAACCTATCTTGTATCTTTTGAATAAGAGCTATCATTCCAAAGTCATAGTCTGTTAATGAGGTTTCATCCTACTAAGTATCAGGGATGTATTATATGAAGCTAAATTTGCTTCTTTGCAGTGAGATCTCTGATTCATCTTGCTTGTTAGTTATATTATATTCATTTGTTTATAGATATTTGAGGTTATTATTAGTATTACATATGTTATTAATACTGGTTCATTTCTTGGATATTATCTCTTATGACATCTGGGTATCCCAATTACTATTCTTTCCATACTGTAGGTACTCTCCATGATATCTAATTTGATGAATATAAATAAGCATTTTCTCCTTCCTCCTTCCTTTTGTAACACCCATTTTCCCACACTTTCCCACAGACACTACAGATACGGTTACTATATCTTTGGAGCCAAATGGGATGTTTTTTTTTTTTTTTGGCTAGGCAATGGGGTTAAGTGACTTGCCCAGGGTCACACAGCTAGTAAGTGTCAAGTGTCTGAGGTCAGATATTAACTCAGGTCCTTCTGACTCCAGGGCCAGTGATCTATCTATCCACTGCACCACCTAGCTGCCCCCAAATGGGATGTCATAGAAGAGGACTGACTCTTGGGCTGTCAGTCTGAAATTACCATGGCAATTGTCATTCTTTGAGGTACTCTATATGGAGTCAAGGACATTGTGTGTGGGTTGACTTTGATTTATAAGAATCTATGTAGGAATCTGTGGAGAAGATAGAGAGAAAGGTGATGGGAAACTTTTTTCTTATTAGGACTATCTTAACTTCATCTTTTCTACAGTCAAAATACTATACACAATTAGCTATCTTTGTTTTATTGTTGATTCTTGTCATTAATAAATTGTAAATTCAGTAATTTTAATACCAGGATAAAAGGAGATTAAGGGATTGAATATATGCAGAGATATAAAGTAACTACTGTTTGGATAAAAGTTTTCTCTGGAGTATTCAAAAAACAATATTTAATGACCTGCAGTCAGAGTTTGAGCCAACTAATTAATAAGAAACATATTCCAATTGTAATTACAGGCATAGCTGAAAGTGTGCGTTCAGTTCCAGACTACTGCAATAAAGTGACTACCACAATAAAGCAAGTCACACAAATTTTGGTTTCCCAGTGCATATAAAAGTTATGTTTATACTATATTGCAGTCTATTAGGTATACAATAGTATTATGTCTAAAAACATGCACATACCTTAATTAATTTTTTTTGCTAAAAGATGCTAACCATCATCTGAGCCTTCAGTGAGTCACAATCTTTTTGGTGGTGGTTGCTGAAGGCTGGCATGGCTGTGGCAATTTCTTAAAATAAGACAATGATGCAACTTACTGCATTGATTAATTCTTCCTTTCACTTGAACACTTATACGTAGGGTTATTAATTGGCCTATTTTAAATATTGTTGTATCTCAGGGAATCGGAAGGCCCGAGAAGAGAGATGGTCAGTGGAGCAGTCAGAATATACGTAACATTTTTTAGCTAAGTTCACTGTCTTATATGGGTGCGGTTCATGGTGCCTCCAACAAATTACAATAGTTACATCAAAGATCACTGACCACAGATCACCATAACAGATACAATAATAACAAAAAATTTTGGAATACTGTGAGAATTCCCAAAATGTGACACAGAGACAGGATATGAGCACACATTGTTGGAAAAATGGTACTGATAGACTTGCTTGACACAGGCTTGCCATGAATCTTGAACTTGCAAAAAACCCCCCACAATATCTGTGAAGTGCAATGCATCAAAGCACAGTAAAATAAGGTATGCCTGCACTAAGAAAATATTCAAACATACTTCTAGATTACCTGAGAGTTTAGGATAAGAAGATGAAATATGGAATGAGTCAAAGGAGAAGGCTAAGGGATGGCTTACAAGCTAGGTGGTATAGAGTTCTGGTCCTAAAGTCAGGAAGACATGACTTTTAATGTTGTCTCAGGAACTTCCTAGCTATAGACCCTGGGCAGGCCATTCATCTCTCTGTGTCTCAGTTTCATCTGTAAAATAAAGGAATTGGACTCAGTAGCCTCTAAATTCCCTTCCAGATCTAAATGTATGATTCTGTAATTACTGTGACACTTTTAGGTTTAAAGCTCTTCAGGTTTCTCTAGCAGGCAAATACATTATCAGCTCTTTTTTTTAAAAAAAATTCAATTTTAAGAATTTTGTTTTCCTTTTTGTTTCCCACTGCCAATGACATAGGAACAAGGAAAAGAAAGGCCTTGGAACAAATAAGTATAGTCAGATAAAATAAACTCCCACCTTGTTCATGTCCAATAGTATATATGCCTCTGGAGTCCATCACCAGTTCTTGTTAGGTGCATTCCAATCTTGGTCTGTGGTCCGCCATTTTGCTATTTCAGATCATGGACTAGAAGTCATTTCATTCCCTGCCCCCAAGTCCCCCATTCTTCACTAAGGCTTTTCTTCCTTATGAAAAGACCAAAGAGGTGACTAGTCTTGGAAAGAAATCCTACAGTTCACAGACATAGAGTGGGGAGAGGCTTCTGTCCTCACAAACCAATCTGACCCAGGTAGAGATGGGGAGCCCTTTACAACCTGACATTGTTCTCCAGGAATGTCCTCCAGGAGGGCCCCAATATCACTGGCCATACTGCTTTCTGGCTCCCAATCAGCTTTTGCCAACTCAAAGCCCAGCTCCCATGTTTCTGATTTGTAAAGCTGAAGGGAGTAGAGAGCAGTGGTTAGTTTAGGACCAGGGTACACCATAGGAGGGATGGCAAAGTGTGAGAGGGAAGAGGGAGGGACATGCACAAGAGATAAGGGAAAAAGGCAGGAGAGGACAATGGTATGGATGGTTATGATGGGGCAGGGACAGTGCAGGATTAATCAATAAGCAGACACGTATTAAGCCCCTACTTTTTTGCTGGGTGCTGTGGTTACAAAGACGGAATGAGATCAGCTCTGCCCACATGGCATTTGCATTCTAATGGGAGGAAACAGCACGTGCCCATAGAAGTATATTCAGAATAAATATAAAAACAATAAATGCAAATGAGTACAGGGAGGGGGACAGGATTGGGTTACAGGACAGTGGACAGCAGGGCAGGGATGTGACTGGGTCAAAGATAGCTAGCATAGGTCAGAGTAGGAGGCAGAACGCACCTTGACGTCTTCTCTTGTCTGCATCCTAACCGCCTTGCCCTTGCTCTTCTCCTTATGGGCCTTTAAGCGCCTGACCTGGATCTCCTTGGCACCTTAGGGATGTACCCGCTCCCCATCAGTCTTTTCCTCCGTCTTGCTAGAGAAGTCTTTGAACTCCTTCGTGACCCTGAGAGCAGAGAGGCTGGCGTGCTTCCTGCCCCACATACCCCTCCAGGAATGGGCTCTAGAAGCCCTCGCTGCCTGGCTCCTACGTGTGATCTTTCTAGGCATGGTAGCCAAATCTCCACATTCTAGCCCAACTGCCTGCCCTGAAGTTGTTCTTACATACTACCTTTCCATTTTCCATCTCTGTGCCTTTGCCTAGATCATCTCAGATGCCTAGAATGCATCCTGCTTCCTCATCCCCATAACTGTTAAAATCCTTTGTTTCCTTCCAAGCTCAGCTTGATTGCTACCTTGAGTTTAAGGGAAGAGCCCAGGGACTTATGGGGCTCCTAGGGAATGGTTATAGAGTTATGAGAAGTAATTGGGAGCCCCAGTGAGTCCCAGCAGGCCATAGGGGTTGAAGGAAATCATGTAGCTTGAAACGGGGCAGGGAATCCTGGGGGTTAGGCTCTTGGTGACTGGTCTAACATGATTCTCTGGCAGTAGCTGGGTCGGCCAAACCAGTTGTGCAGGAAGCAAAGGTGACAGTCATGGATTTGGACAAATGCAACCAAAGCGATTGGTATCATGGGCTTGTTCACTCAAACAACCTGTGTACTAGTTGCTCAGATGAGAATATGGACACTTGACAGGTAAATCTACTCTTCTGAGGGCCCCCACACTCCTAGTCCTATGATCCAGAAAGCTCCTCTTTCAGTCTTTCTGGCTGAACCTGTGCTCCTCCTAGGCTCTGCCCATTCCTACTAGTTCCCTCCAATGTCCCAAAGTCCCATGTCCAGGGATCCCTTTTGTCCTTCCCCCATCCTAATTCTAACCTTCACGCCACTCCACAGGTCCTTTCTCCAAGCCACACAACATGCTAATCATGTCACTGTACAGGAAGAAGATAGTTGGGAAGCTCAGTGCCCCCCAGTAAGGGCTAACCAGCACAATCAGTGACTTCCCTCCAGGTACACATACCTGGAAACTTTTGTCTGAGACCTGGGAGGACCTCTCTGTTGGAACTTTTTCCTCATGCTCAGAACCTTCCCTGGGTCCACACCATTTACCCTGAACACCTTAAATCCCTCTAGCTCCAACTGAGGACCTTGCTTGCATGCTGAGGGAGGAGTGACCAGGTATCTATAGACCATAGCAATCCTTTGTCCCAAGGAGACAGTGGGCATGTGTGCTGAGGCAATAGTGACCATGTGTTCAAAGATAGCAGCAGCTATGTGTCCTAAGCTATGGCTGCATGTTCTGAGAGGATGATCATATCCCTTCTGTACAGGGAGACAGTGGAGGGCCGCTCATTTGCAAGGACAATGACACTAAGGCATATGTAATTCATGGAATTGCAAGCTGGGCTGTTGGCTGTGCTCGGACAAACCTGCCAGGTCTCTACATGTCCACCTGGCACTTTCTGAACTGGATTACTTCCAAGATCAATTCTCTAGGAAGATGAAGAACCTGTTCTCAGCTGCAGAGACCTTGGCCTCAGCATCACTGTCTACAGAAATTCAGGGCAGAGGGGCAGCTCAGGAACCTGAAGAGGATTTCTTCCACTCAAGCATCCTGGGGCAACCTCCAAGATAGGAAAATGGGGACCCTCCCCCACTTGACCTTGCTGCATCTGTTCCTCACCCTCCAAGGGGAAGAAGAGCTGCTGTGGGACCGTGACTGCTTCAGCAGTCCTGGGGCCACTCTCTCTCCTGGTCTTTCTGGCTTTCAACTTCATTGGTTCCATTTCTTTAGCTGGGGAAGGAAGAAATAAACCCAGCTCACTGAATAGCATTTTTTTGTTTTTAATCAATGGTTACTCTTTGGCCTGATTCTTCTCCATCTATGGAGCCCTTTCTGTTGTCACATCAGATCATGGCAGAGGGCTGAATCAGTTGTCTGGCAATGGCTAACAAAAATCCAGTGGCCCCCCAACCCAGAACCCTTTCCTCATTCCCATGTTTTTTACTCTTTTATGACATTTCCTCTGAGGATTTTTTAAGCTCAATCCTTTGCTAACTTATGCCAAGCCCACATGTTTCTCAGGCATATGAGTTGAATCAAGGAGCATACTACCATATTTACTGTTAACTAATCAAATCATGTTATTCATTAGCAAGAGGTATATTCTTTGTATAATGTGGGCTACTTCTATCTTGTAGTCTCCCTTGGGTCACAAAGATTCTCCTACTCTGGAATGTCAGAACTTTCACCAACTGGGAAATATATAGGCTCCATGTGTGACTAATGGCCCTTAGTTGGTGGGAGCTGAGGGGTGGATGTGGGTGAAGGCTTTTTATACAATTATCTTCATTAATCATCACGAGCCTGGCAATCAGTTCTTGCACCAAGGAATGGCTTCACAGGGAATAAATAGTACAGGTAAAGATTGTAGCTTAGCCAATCATGACGGGAATGAAGTGTACTTTTACACCTGGGTTATGTAAACCCAGAAGCAATTCTAGGGATATAGAGTTGGAACAAGGTACAAAACAATTCAAACAAATTGTGAAATGGGGGGGGAGGGGGATAATTGTAAATTGACAAAATTTGTTGATTAACCCTCAGATTAACTGGCCCAGACACAAAATTGTTAAGCAAAATAATTTTAAAAGAAGATACCTCCTGTTTTAAAAATCTACTAATATAAATAATCAAGGGTGTTTCTACCAAAAAAGAAATACAAGAAACTGGGATGGGATATATTAACTTCAGAAATATGAGACATGGCCCCCTCCCCAATATTTTCAGAAGAAAAAGGTCGAGTACGTGTATCAAGGGGTTAATGAGAAATGTGACTGAAGTCTGAGAGGAGTGTACCCTTACATCTTATCTCCTTATATCTTGTGATTTCATTTAGTGCATTGGAGAGACTTAGCTTACTGGTCATGACTGTGGTGGGGGAAGGCACCGATGAACTTTGTGTGATACATATTTGAGAAGCTGATAGGATAAGAGGCAATTTTTGGCAAGCAAAGGCAAAGAACCGCATCACGAAACTACGTACTTGGTGTCAAATACCTGGAAGTATCAAGTACTTGGAATCAAATGTTTTGCAAGTGAGATTAGTTACAAAGTAAAGGTAATTGCCATAGGAGGATTAAACAACCAGTAGGGTAGTCTGGATTAACAACTGAGTGATATGAATTCCCATTCATGTCCCCATTCTTCTCCATTCAGGAAGAGAATGAGAAAGGGAGGAAAAGGGAGAAACAAAAGGATAGTAATCCCAGCGCAAAAATTTTTATACCAAATGGGAGGGTGGAAAAGTAAAGTATTGCAAAACAGTTAACAGTATGAAACATAGGGGCCATGTTTAGTGTTTTATGACAAGGCTGAAAAGGATTTTGGGATTTAGAGCTGGAAGTGGTCCTGGAGATTATCTAATAAAACTTTCAGTTTAAACATGAGGAAACTTAAGTCTATAAAAGGAAAGTCACTTGTCTAAGGTCTCACTCGCAGTAAATAGCAGAGCCAGAATTAAAATCTATGTCCTTTGATTTCAGATAGTTCTCTTTAAACAGTTTTGCCTACTCCTTAGGATTTAGGAGACAAGATTATATCAATTTCAGACAAGAACAACTTAAGAATAACTGAAAAAGTCAAAGATATTCAGTTGAACAACTATTTCCTTAAAGGTAAATGGGTTGAAATCCCTAACAAAAAGAAAAGGGTTCCTAAATGGAATAGAGAGAACCCAACAACATGTTGCCTACAGGAAATACAATGCAGAAACATCCTTATAAATATAAATTTGAAAGGGTGAGCTAGAAGTTACCATATTTCAGGTGATTCCAAGTAACTAGGGGTTGTGTGATATCATGAGAGAAAATTGAACTCAAATTACAGAGCGTTAAGAGAGATTAAGATAATATGTTTAAGAGTACTTGTTATAATGAGAGAATGTCATTGGAGAAGCAGCCTATTGTAGTAAAAATATCACAGGATCTAGACCCAGTGGTTTAAGTTTGAGTACTGGCTCTGCTATTTACTGCCTTTGTAAGCTTGGAGGAATTACTTCACAGCTCTTGGTCTCAGTTTTCGTATTTATAAAATGAGGTCATTGGACTGTATACTCTTTAAATTTTCTCTTAGGGTTTGAGTCCTTTGGTCATTATTCAATATCTATGCACCCAATTTTAGAACTAAATTTGTAAGGTAAAAACTGATTTGTGAAAATAATCATGTACAAAAATCAACATCAGAGCGAAAATTTGAAACCACAGCATCAATATATGAGAATCACCCAAAAAAGCTAAACTGGGAAGTTACCAGCTCAGATAGAGAGCTATGCAAACCAAGAGTTGATAAATACGTAGTAGGAAAGATATGGCCTCTGCGTGAAAATCCACAGAATATTTAAAATAACTGATCACCTTCTAGGACTTAGTTATAAATAAATTAAAAAAGGCAGAAATTTAAACACTGGAATTACAAATCAAAATGCAATAAAAACTGCTTAAAAAGGAACAGCTGATAAAATATGGAGCTCGCTTAGAGATAAAGATGACTTTTGGAATAGTGTTGGTGTCAAAGATAAAATAGAAACAATTATATCAAGGTAATGACAGTATAAACATAACATATACAAACCTACAGAATGCTGCCAAAGTGATGGTGAGAAGCAAATTTCTACCCTCAAATGCTTTTATTAATGAGAATAAAAGATGCTGTTTGTAATAAAAGAAATTACAAAATAATACACCAAGAGCAAGCATAAAACAAGTAATGGAGAAAGTAGTAAATAAAATGAATGATTGAATTAATAAAGAAAAGTTTTCTACAAGAACAATAAAATTGATACACTATTATCTGACTTAATAAAAAAAATGGGACAGGAAAAATTAAATGACCAAAAGGAGATATGAGAAAAGGGAAGTCACAAGGAATGAAGAGAATAGTGTACATAGTGACATGCCAACTAATCTGAGAATATAAAATAGAAGCATTTTAAAAAATGAAACGTTCTTTTTTAAAAATCAGGAAATAGCCTAAATTAACCAATCACAAAAAAGTATGGTAAGCAGGTCATTAATGAGGAACTATATAAAGAGGCACCAGGATCAGATCTATTCAGAAAAGAATTCTATTAAATATTGAGAGAACAAGTAGAAATAAAGACAGTGTAACTCACTTGTTTTAGGAGGCAAATACTGTAATGTTCCCTATCCTTGATAGGGATAGAGTAGAGAAAGAACAGTAGGATATCTCTTAATGAATAATCTCTCAAAAATAGTAAATAAAACGCTGGCAAATACAATGATATGTATGGACATAAATGGTTAGCTATGAAACAGGAGTTATACCAAGAATCCAAAGGTAACTCCAGGATTATCAAGAAAAAAATCAGTTTAATTGGTATTTCAGTACTTTCATGAACCTTAATTTCCACTATTGATTGAAATGATGTTAAGTCATTTTCATTGCTGCCATTTACTCATTTTTCAGTCATGCGTGTCCAACTCTCTGTGACTTGGCAAAGATACTGGAGTAGTTTGCCATTTCCTTCTGCAATTCATTCTATAGATGAGAAAACTGAGGCAAACAGGATTAAGTGACTTAGCCAGGGTCATGCATCTAGGAGGTGTCTGAGGCCAGATTTGAACTCTTCCTGACTATAGGCCTGGAGCTCTATGCACTGTGCCACCCAACTGCCTCCTTGAGATGATGTACCCTTTATCATTTGGGAGTTTCTGTGGCCAAAAAATTAATTGCACTGTGACTCCTTTCTCAGTAATTGTACTGTATGTGGAACTTTTCTAGCTTGCTGGAACTCCCAAAGCCTGTGTGCCCTGCTTGGTCTTCCCAACACTAGTCTTTCTCTTCTCTAATCTGTTTCCCACACAGCTGCCAAAGTGATCTTCCTACTTAGTTACTCTCCTACTTAGTAAATGTCAATGCTTCTTATTGTTTCTAGGATCATATTTAAAGCCTTTCACAACCTGAACCCAACTACTTTGCAAGTTTTATCTATGACTCTCCTTCACACCCACTTACTGTTCCTTAGACAATCTTACACACCATCCTTCTCCCCCTACCCCATTTCCATGCCTGGAATGTTTCTCTCACTTTTGCCTCTCAGAACTCCTAAATTTTAACAAAACTCAGCTCAATGCCACCTTCTACATGCAACATTGCCTTCCTTGCCGTCTCCTTATAGTGAGGGTCCAGTTGTGTATCTGCTCCTCCTTGCCCTCCTTTGATGTCCAGCCCATCTTCTTTTGTACTCATACATTTCTCTGATGACATCCTTTATTCTGGCCCTTCTTCATAACTTCTCATTTGTTCCATATTGAAGTCTGCTCATACCCACCTACCATGAGTCTTCTAAGACTCATTTCCCCTTTGAAAACCGTTGTCTCCAAAGGCCCTCAATCTCTCAGCTCTGGGCAGTGTCATTGGCTGTCTTCCATGCCTGGAATGCTATTCCTCCTTATCTTCACCTCTTGGCTTCCTTTAAGTCCCAACTAAATATTCCACCTTCTACAGGAAGCCTTTCCCAATCCCTTTTAATTCCATGGCCTTTCCTTCATTGATCATTTCCAATGTATTCTGTACACAGTTTGTTTGGACATCACTATTTTCATGTTGTCTCTCCCGTTGGAGCATAAGCTCCTTAAGGGCAGGGACTGTCTTTGTATTCCTAACACTTAGCCCAGCACATAATAGACACTTAATGGATGTTTATTGACTGACTTGTGTTCCATGTCTTCTACCACTCAACAACACCAGTAGAAAGCTGATATTAAGGTCTTTCATAATTTCTCACATAAGT